ATACCGTGTGCGCGCTCTGGGAGGTGTTGGTCTCCCCCAGGGAAGGACACGATGGAGGGACTATATGTCTCTCAGCTGGTTTTGGGATACCTCCTGGATTCGAGGTGAGGTGGAGGTGTTGTATGGAGTCTGCGCAATTCTGCTTTCACGGCTGCATCACTCACTCAGAAATAGATAAAGTCCAAATATATTTCAGTTTACTCTCCCCTTGTCATCCATTTTGACTCATCCATCAAGGCCATTGCAGTAACCTTTCCTAGAATTGATAATATCTTGCAATACAATTTTCCCGGTTTAACTAAAAATTCTAGCTTGTACAAAGTTGCCAAAAAGAAAGAATTGTGGTCAAAATGACACCTGCATTAATTTCATCTGACTGGGAACCTACAGCAAAGGACAGCGAGGATTTAAGGACATTTATGGACATTGATCATACTCCGAGACGATTGCTCAAATCAATAGAGATTCTAGTGTCTCTTGTCATCGTGATTTTTTTTTTATGTTGAAATCTATTGCTATTCTCTCCTCACTTTTGTGCGACAAACCCGGCTCTCTCTCTTGTCCCGCTCTGCTCTGATTGGTTGGAACGCTCACATGTATCTCTTTGGGGTCTTACTGGTTTCTCTCTGGTTTCTTACCTGTCTTTCTCTGGTCTCTCTTTCTGGTTTCTTATTGGTCTCTTAGATCTCTCTTTCAGATCTCTCTCTCTCTGGTTTCTTATCGGTTTCTCTGGTCTCCTGGGGCAGACATCTTGAAGACCCGGAACTCGGTTGTAATTCATTTAAAAAGCGTGGCTAAGCAAAACGGATGAGTCAACTTAGAAGTATGGCTAATCATTAAATATTTCATGTGTTTTGGAAGCATAGCTAGCCACAGTGAAGGACCACTTTCTCGTTGTCGCAACTGACCCACGTTAATAATGTTAATAGTAATAATAGTATGAAGGGCACATACTGTATTTGGGTTAAATATTGCGGAGGAAAAGATGAGGAAAAGGTGAAAGAAAGCAAAAATACTCTGGAGAGAACTTCTTTGTCTTGTCTTTGGTCCGAGTTCCGTTGCGTCAAAACCTCCCGAGAAGCAAAATGGAATGGTACGTTTGTTTGTTTGCTTATAGGAAGCTTGCGTTCCCCGTTGCCATGGTTACTAATCCTGTTTACACCCAGGATGTATCTTGTGTTGAGAGGAGTTTGTTATCAATGTGTGTCAGGGACGACGGCACAAAAGGAACTGTTTTCATCACTACATTAGCCGGGAAAAAGAAGCACAGGATGTCATTTGTGGTTATTTATTTACTCCGTGTGCGGTGTTTTGAAAAGGGTTACGAGGCAACGCAACTGTTGGAGAAACACACAAGACTAAGAGGATTAAAACGTCAAGATAAATAAGGAACAATACTGGATTTAATGGTTTCAAATGAACCACTTTATTACATGGAGTTACGAGCAAAAGCTTTGTTTCACTGTTGTGTGTCGTGTGGTTGTTGTAAACGCATTCACACATTTAGACTAACACATACACAAATACACATACACACACACACACACACACCCCCATCCATAAATACACACACATACATAGATACATGTATATACAAAGCATACATGCACAAATACAAATATATACATACATACATGCACAGTATTTACAATATACATATCTATACAACATGCACATACAGATCTGCACCCAGAAACACAAACACACACACACACACACACATGATACCAGACTGTTCTGAACCAGACTGTTCTCTTTTGAACCAGGCTGTACTGAACCAGACTGTTCTGAACCAGGCTGTTCTCTTTTGAACCAGGCTGTACTGAACCAGACTGTTCTGAACCAGGCTGTACTGAACCAGACTGTTCTGAACCAGACTGTTCTGAACCAGACTGTTCTCTTTTGAACCAGGCTGTACTGAACCAGACTGCTCTGAACCAGACTGTTCTCTTTTGAACCAGGCTGTACTGAACCAGACTGTTCTGAACCAGACTGTTCTCTTTTGAACCAGGCTGTACTGAACCAGACTGTTCTCTTTTGAACCAGGCTGTACTGAACCAGACTGTTCTCTTTTGAACCAGGCTGTACTGAACCAGACTGTTCTCTTTTGAACCAGGCTGTACTGAACCAGACTGTTCTCTTTTGAACCAGGCTGTACTGAACCAGACTGTTCTGAAGCAGACTGTTCTCTTTTGAACCAGGCTGTACTGAACCAGACTGCTCTGAGAGGAACCAGAGAGATGGATTTCATGATGTTTTTAAATCTTTGTGGCTTTGCACCGCGATAAGATAAAGCTCGTTTCTGTTTCCTATTTCCATCCAGGAAGTGCCTTTGTAAACTCTAACAAACATACATGACTTCAAACAAACTCTAACTATTTAATTCTTCAGCATTATTTGTGACATAAATATGACACTAGGGAACACTTTAACAATAATAATAATTTGAATACTATATATTACTATAACTCTATATTTCTTGCAGTAGATAATACACATTCTTCTTTATTAGATCGATAGATACTTTATTGATCCCTGCAGGAGAAATTCAGGTTAAAATTATACTAAATTATGCTAAAGTTGGAGATTTAGTTTTATTTTAGTATAGAGTTATTGTTAATTTCTCGTGCTGTGTGCTCCTCCTTCCTACTGCTCTGTAACTGCTGATGCAACACTGACATTTCCCCACAAGTGGAATCCATAAAGGATTTATTTATCTTGGTCTTAAATCACAAAGGTTCAATATTTTCTATATTTTTGTCGCTGCTGCCGTTAATATTCCAGCAAGTGCTAAATCTAAAGATGCATTTGTTTGTATCAGTGCAGCTTTTTATTTGCAAAAGTGAAAAAAGCAAAGATCAAAGTCTAATCATAACTTTATTATTATATCACACCAGCTGCGGTGATGAACCGCCCAAACACTGACAATTTAATTACTGCTAATTAACCAGGGGTCGCCATAACTGAGTCAAAAAACAGTATCAGCGAATTAAAAGCCTGGGATTATGCATCGGAGCAGACGCAGCAGCAGCTTCTGAAAACAACAGGTGTAAAAGTCACGTACACCAACATTCACTCATGTTAGCATTAGCTTAACTGTTAGCTTCATCACTCGTTCACCTCAGTACACAAGGTCCTATCGCTGCTGAAACTGGAAGAAGTCAAAATAATATTAACAATAAACTCTGCTTTGACCACAGCCCAACTTTACCACAACACAAATATGTACATTGGCCACAAGCTTCAAATAATAAAAAAGTAGCGTTTTGTAGTCCGGCAATTTTCATAAGCCACTACTTTATTTTAATGTGTTTTTACTGCAATTTTTCAAATAAACTATATCTAAATCATTTGCATACTTTTGCGAATGAGCCCTGCTAGTCACTATTTGACGCTGATTGGCTGAGCGAGGGGGGGGGTCCTGTCTTTTCTACTGCTTTTCTACTTTTCTGTCTGAAAAGGCTGATCTACAGATGTGACGGAGGCAAAAAATAAATGCATGTGAAAACTAGTGCTAGAACTATGCTGTTTTAGAGACAGGGACTCGGCACTTTGATTATATGACCTATAGTTCCAGTGCTTAGTTTGAAAGTCAGACACCCCAACTTTAAGAATTTGCAAACTCGTCCAATGGATCTACAGTCGTCATATGATTGCACTCCTCCCGATACATCAGCAAAGATAGCAGCGTACATATAGGTCACATACGGGTAACTCTTGGACTCCTGTGGAAAGTCTCTGATGAGGCGACTGCAGAGGACTCAAAGTGAAACATGATTTTTCTGCCCACGTCTGGACCGGAGAGCGATCTGTCAAATGGCAGCGAAAGGGAACATTAGTCGCACCACAATGGGGTTATGGAGATGGCAGCTGCACTTTTGGGCTTGCACAAAGAAAGCTCTCTCTCCTGGAGTCGCCGGTGCTTTTCTGTGACTGTAGAGTGGAGCTGCGGCGACGACGACAAGGCGGGTGGCTAATGCAAAAGCCACGTCGACTGTTTTTGATATCTGTGCGTGGGGAAATGTGCACTACGTGGTTATATCATATACAGAGGTTATAAAATAATGGCATCAGCAGGAGACAGTGGGTTGTGGGTAATACGGCAAGGGAAAATACAATGATGCAAGGGCCACAACATGTGTTTGAAAAGACGTTCTGTGTTGAGCTTGATTCTGACTTATTTAATCAAGTAAGATTTTCAAGGCTGCTTTTTAGGTAATAACATCTATGAACTTAACATGTGCACTGCAAAATATGATAAAATATGAGCTAATAATGGCTTGAATCAAGTGTTTGCAAATATCAGGTACGACATGTCTGGGTTGATTCATGTATGATGGAGCTGAAGTTGGCTGATCAAGCATTAGCGCCATATATGTAGTTTTGTGTAAGGGTCCTACATTATGTATACAGTATATGATGGCTCTAGCAGAAATGGCTCTGGTAGATATGAACAAAGTAAAAGTAGGATAAAATCATGGAATAAATTGGCTCTAAATTCAGCTAAATGACATGGAGGACCACCTCTAGTATCAAAAATAGATTGATCCACAGTTTAGGAGCAGCTGATAAAGACTCTAATGGATTGAAAGTCATGTGGAGAAATGAAAGAGAAGAACCCAAAATGCAGAACTGCTAAAATAATGGATTTAATAATATTGCAGTAAGAAAATCCAGAGAAAAAACCACAAAGAGTAACAAAACAGACGTGGAATGACAATGACTAACCAGACACAGGTGACACACGTGTGGGCGGGGCAGGTGATCAAACGAGAAGTAGAACAGGAAGCAACAGGGTTAACAAATTCCAAAATAAAACAGGAAATAACCCTAAACCGTAACATCAAAAGGTAAAAGTGTGGTCTCCGTCTCAGTGCAGCCAGTGTGCGTTTGTGTGTGTGTTTTAACCTTGTGTTTCCCCCCAGGCCCCCGGCGAAAGCTCTCTCAGGCCTCTCATGGAAACCTGTGTGTGTGTGATCCAGGAGGGCCAGCCGAGGAGGATGACTGGTAAAACCCAAACCAGCAACGTGACCAACAAGAATGACCCGCGTTCGCTCAACTCCAGAGTCTTCATCGGAAACCTCAACACGGCCATCGTCAAGAAGAGCGACATCGAGGTCATTTTCACCAAGTACGGCAAGATCGTGGGCTGCTCCGTCCACAAGGGCTACGCCTTCGTGCAGTACATCAACGAGAGGAACGCCAGAGCGGCCGTGGCGGGGGAGAACTCCAGGGTCATCGCCGGACAGCCCCTCGGTGAGTCTCTGCGGGTTTTCAGATTTGTATTTAGTTTTTTGGATATGAAGCTTGATGCTCGGTGTCTGCGTTGTTTGACAATCTGAAAAGATGACACAGAGACAGAAAATGCATTACATACTTAGACTCCGGCTGTGGCACTTGGTTTATGGAACCCTAACCCTATTTATTGTGTGAAAAATATTGTTGTTCTATATAGGCTAGAACTGTACAAAAAATGTCTGAGATGTGTGGGGATTGTGTTTAAAGTAATGGCAGTATTTTTTCTGCTAAAATTGTGCAGGCCGAGCTCTGTGTGCGCCTTAATGGGTTTGTTGGTTCTTTTATTGCCATAATCCTCGTCAGATCTAGTCAGGCATTATTAAAACAATATTGGCCTAGCCTTTGCTCGGTTGGAGTTGTATTTTGAGTCATCCTCCAGCAAAATGAAGCCTGTTGATGCTAGCGGTCGTCGCGGCTAATCTGCCACCAACTTCTACAGTGGTTTTTATTGGACTGTGTGTGTGTTATAATCAGGATAGAGCTTCTATAGAATATGGTATACCCTTCTATTACGTGCCAGAGGTTCCAGGGTACCACGATAACGTTTGTTGTTATGGACCAGGTGTGGACTGATGAAGGTTAGAGGTCTATAACTCAGCATCGCTAATTACAATAATAATAGAAATGTGCATAAACAAAATAGCTGCAGCGTTGGTCACAGACGTCAGCGCTCAGTTGGGTCCGGGGCCTTTTATGCCCGGGCAGATTCGCACCCATCAGCCAGTGGGTGGTGCAGAGAAGGCCTGGAGGAAGGGTTGGAGGTATGGCAAAACACAATGGCAAGGCCTACAGTATAACACCTTTCCATTCGTTTGTCAATGAGCTGGAACTTTGGCTGATTGACCTGATTGGTTGGTTATCCTTGTTCTTGTTAGCCAATAGAAATGTTGTAGATCTTGATAAATGTCTTGAACTGCAGATGGAGAACTTGATTGCTCTTAGTATGTGCTTGTTTTGCGATGTCAGTTGTGGCTAAATCCTGTACATAATAAGCCATGAGAGGGCCGACAGGGGGCGATAGTGAGTACGCTTTTCAATACCAGCATGCAAAGGCACCGTATGTACAACAAAGATGGCGCCCACTGCGGGAACTACAGTAAGTGAACTCCACCAAAGGCAGAGAGAGCGCACTATTGTTGTATGTGGAGCACTGGGAATTTGCATGATGTATTATTCCATCATGGTTTTAAATAAACTGAATGAGATTTGAATCTAAATTGTACATTAAAAGTCAGACAGAAGAATTTACTGAGAAATGTGTGCCAGTTTTTCTGATGGACCTTGAGCCCGTGGAGAGCAATTAGGCCTTATTGCTTTCTTCCCTTTCCCTCAACTTATTATGATCACTTCAGCTCTCACATTTCTATCATCCAACTTCCAGCTTTAGCTCAGGGAAAGTGCTGTCCTGGAGTTCTGTTCCGTTCAATGTGAGAAAAAGGCAATCAAGTCGGTTGTTTTCAAATGCCCTCATTCATTTCACATTAAAAGTCCAAAAACGCCTAGGCTCTGCACTGGGGCACAATGAGTATTTGGAAGTTGGCGATTGTGAAAGTTGTTCCACTCCCAGATACAGTTTTTTTCCCCATGCCTGCTCTGTACATTCTCCTCTTGAGTGAGTTTATGTCACACACTTCATAAAAGTTTATCTGTGGCTTACTTAACAGCTCTGTGGCTGCGTGGAGTAGTCGTCCTCTCCTGGGAACTGGAAGCGCCCGCAGCCTCTGTCGCACTCACACTTTTAGACGCTCCCTGGGCTCCCCTAGCGCCTAAGTGCCTGGCTCTGTTGTCACGCTGCATGCTTCGCCCTTTTGCAAGAACTAAGAAAAAGCTACAAGTGAATGATTTTTACTTACACCAGCAGAGCAGAACTCGTCAAAGCACGTCAGAGGTGAGGAAAGTCAAAGCGTTATTCGATATTGTGTTTTATAGAGAGGACTGTTTAGAGGCGTTTTTATATAATGGGGATTGAAACTTGGGGCAGGGCCTTAATAATCTGTGGTTCTAAAAACATCAATTTCAATTTGTTTTGTGTACGGCCCTAAATTGCAACATCAGTCAGGAGGACTTTACAAGGTTGCTGATTCACCAACAACAGATCAGAGACTCAAAGAGTACCTGCAGGCCTTTCTGAATGGAGTTTGCCTGTTCTTTCCCGTGTCTGCATAGGTTTCTGAGGCTGTAGATCCAAGACTGAGACTGTAGATCCAGGACTGAGGCTGTAGATCCAGGACTGAAACTGTAGATCCAGGACTGAGGCTGTAGATCCAGGATTGAGGCTGTAGATCCAGGACTGAGGCTGTAGATCCAGGACTGAGACAATAGATCCAGGACTGAGGCTGTAGATCCAAGACTGAGACTGTAGATCCAGGACTGATGCTGTAGATCCAGGACTGAGGCTGTGGATCCAAGACTGAGACTGTAGATCCAGGACTGAGGCTGTAGATCTAAGACTGAGGCTATAGATCCAGGACTGAAACTGTAGATCCAGGACTGAAACTGTAGATCCAGGACTGAGGCTGTAGATCCAGGACTGAGGCTGTAGATCCAGGACTGAGACTGTAGATCCAGGACTGAGGCTGTAGACCCAGGACTGAGGCTGTAGATCCAGGATTGAGGCTGTAGATCCAGGACTGAGGCTGTAGATCCAGGACTGAGACTGAGATCCAGGACTGAGGCTGTAGATCCAGGATTGAGACTGAGATCCAGGACTGAGGCTGTGGATCCAGGACTGAGGCTGTAGACCCAGGACTGAGGCTATAGACCCAGGACTGAGGCTGTAGACCCAGGACTGAGGCTGTAGATCCAGGACTGAGGCTGTAGATCCAGGTCTGAGACTATAGATCCAGGACTGAGGCTGTAGATCCAGGACTGAGGCTGTAGATCCAGGACTGAGGCTGTAGACCCAGGACTGAGGCTGTAGATCCAGGACTGAGACTGAGATCCAGGACTGAGGCTGTGGATCCAGGACTGAGGCTGTAGACCCAGGACTGAGGCTATAGACCCAGGACTGAGGCTGTAGACCCAGGACTGAGGCTGTAGACCCAGGACTGAGGCTGTAGACCCAGGACTGAGGCTGTAGACCCAGGACTGAGGCTGTAGATCCAGGACTGAAGCTGTAGATCCAGGACTGAGGCTGTAGACCCAGGACTGAGACTGTCCACACGCAACTATTTTTTTTTTTTTCAAACTTTGTTTATTTGAAGTTTTACAGAAATTGTACAGTTTTCAAACAAGTCAGATACAGTACAAGGGAGAAATGAACACTGATACAATCTCCTTAAATCACACACACAGAACAAAACAGAAAGCACTCCAACCAGCCAGCCAATTAAGGATCACCCTCCCTGTACAGGGAGGATTCAGATATTTTTCATTTAACTGCATCAGTATTATAACTTAACTTGTGTCAATATAGTCAAGCTATACCTCTTTTGAAAGCTTATTCCCACCTCTAAATGCATATTATGTTCAAATAAACATTAAATATCAACAAAAGTAAGTATTTGTAGTCAAACTGTATACATATAAAAAATATATATTGTCCTTTCTTACCTTTTCATGCTAATATTCTGGGCCAAATCACGTCTAATCCACACATGTGTGCATTCATTTTGTCCGGGGGGGTCTAGAGAATACTTATATCCAGTTGTTTTTTCTTCAAAGTCATCATTATTGTAGATATCCACTTGTAACGACACATTTGAGTTTTGAAAGTTGCCCGAACAAAAATAAAACCGCGTCTTTGCGCACTGTCTGAAGACGCCATTGTTTTTTTTACCCAGAATCACTGGGTATGTTCGTCTTCCTCTCAGTCTTCCCTTCAAAACAAGCCCTCACTCGGACTTCTCAGTGCTATGGTTTGGGGGGTACAACAAGTTGACGAAAACAAGCGCACCAAACTTCAGCCCTCCAGGCATTTACCTTTCTGTGCGTCATGACAGCATTGTCTTGACTACCATTGGCCGATTTGGATGTCAATCAAACCATCTTGTAGCCAATAATCTCAGGTTTCAGGCGATGTGTCGGACTTCAAGGTTCCTCCCACTGTTCGAGTGTTATTTGAATGCGTAAGAGAGGAAAGCGGAGCATTTTCACGGAGAACACGCGCTATAACTATATAAATAATAGCTTTTCTGTAAACATTTCAATATCTGGAAAAAAATACTATTTATAGCAAGAGTAATAGCCAAAAAATGATATAATTTGATTTTTGGTGTAATAATGTTGATAATTTGCATGTAAAACAATTTGGCACAATTGGCACAAAAATGGACCGCTTGTGCCGAATGTGCCCATTAGTCACAAAAAAGCCCCCAGCATCAAAATGGTTTCACCTAAAGGTCTAAAATTTCATACAGTTGTTGCCAACACCACAGACATCTGCTCTGGTGAGTTTGAACAACATATCATAAAGTATGTCTTCAGGAGAACCTTTTGAAATTGCCTTTTTTTTTTCGAGACAAAAAAAACTAACTTTTACTCATGTTTGAGAAGGTGTAGTGCAGACTGTGTCCTTCCTAACAAACTGTAACATACATTTCCAGAAACTAGAAGGTGTTACCTTTCAAATGAGGCATCATAACACAACATCAGACACAAGATGTCCACACAATAAGCATTTTCATTTGGGTATCATAATTCGAGAAGAAACAGGCGAAATTAGGTGATCCTTAAGGGGTTAAAAGCATGTCCAAAGTATAAAAGGGGGATGTAAAAATGTGCGGCGCCCCCAATTTAATAAAACAAAACAGGTAATGTAGAAAAAAAAAAAAGAGTAATACAAGCTAATTCGGAACACAAGGAAAGTTCATTTGCTTAAGCAAATTAAACAAGGGATTCCAGGCCTGAATGAATCTGTCAGAGAAGCCATGGATCGTCATGCGTATTTTTTCCAGCTTAAGAAAATATAAAACGTCCCTAAGCCAGTGGGTAACAGAAGGAGGTTGCGGAGATTTCCATTTTAGCAAAATTACCCTTCTGGCCAGAAGGGTCATAAAAGCAAGAGAGTTGCCATGTAAGGTGGAGAGGGAAAGTGGCCTTTTATATATTCCAAACAAAGCACTCAAGGGATTTGGGTCTATTGTCCTGCCAATCACTTTGGAAATAATGCCAAAAATGTTGGTCCAATAAGTCACACGCAACTATTTTTGAATGTTATTGTGTAGGTACAGGCTATTCTTTATCAGCTCTTGGCAAAACTGCATTGGACAAATATTAATACAGGTCCGAAATAACCCATAGTTAATGTCAATGTATTGTCAAAT